CAAACATCAAATACATTAACAGCTTAAAAACAAACAACAAACATATTAACAGCTTGAAACAAACATCAAATATATTAACAGCTTGATAACAACCATCAAAAACATTTACAACTTGACAACAAACATCAAACACGTTTACAACTTGACAACAACCAAACACATTTACAACTTGACAACAACCATGAAACACGTTTACAACTTGACAACAACCATGAAACACGTTTATAACTTGACAACAAACATCAAACACATTTATAATTTGATAACAACCATCAAACAAGCTTACAGCTTGACAACAACCATGAAGCACGTTTAAAACTTGACAACAACCATCAAACATACTTACAACTTGATAACAATCAAACACATTTACAACTTGACAACAACCATGAAACACGTTTAAAACTTGATAACAACCATGAATCACGTTTACAACTTAATAACAAACATCAAACACATTTATAACTTGATAACAACCATGAAACACGTTTACAACTTGACAACAACCATGAAACACGTTTAAAACTTGACAACAACCATGAAATACGTTTATAACAAACACGAAACATTTATAACTTGCCAAATGTCAAACAATTTTACAGCTTGACAACAACCATGAAACACGTTTACAACTTGACAACAACCATGAAACACGTTTAAAGGTTGATAACAACCATCAAACAATTTTACAGCTTGACAATAAACATCAAACACATTAACAGCTTAACAACAAACATGTTTAGAGCTTGACAACTTGACAACAAATTTCAAACACATTAACAGCTTGACAACAACCATCAAACACATTAACAGCTTGACAACAACCATCAAACACATTAACAGCTTGATAACAACCATCAAACTCGTTTACATCTTGATAACAAACATTAAATATGTTTAAAGCTCTATAGCTATCATCAAACACGTTTACAACTTAAAAATCAGTATTATTATTATTTCTATGCGTAATTTGCATTTAATTGTCATTCTAAAAGATTACTATGGTGTGCAAGTAAATTTTCATTAAATTCTATAACAAGAAATCATAAAGCAATGAATCACCTCATCAAAACACTCATATAATTACATAATGTCACACCACGTGTTTTTAAGATGTATATGTCGATGACTTTGGCATATAGTAGTATATTTGCTCTTTTCTTTAATACCATTACTCGTCTCCTTCACGATATCCTGATGGAGTGTGTGATATGATATTTTATTTATAAATTAATATGCAATTCTGTTATATCTTACTCATTTAGTGGATTTTACTTAGATTACATTGATTTTGGTTGACTAACACACGTAAAAAAACATTAAACATTTGATTTCCTCACGGTTATGTAATTTAGATTAACAGCACACTATCATTTAGTGTACCTGCCAAATCAACATTTATACATCAAAATCGAAAACTATTCGGTAGTCTAAAGAAGGGGTGTATGGTAACCATTTTTATCATACAGTGAATATTTAACTTTATTTCTTACTTCTTTGGTTAACCAGTTCTTTGTTATTGAAATTAAAAAGATAGAACTAAAACTGTTGGATTGGTGTGAGCAAACAAACAGTTCCTTAACACTTTAACCATCATTTGGTTTGTTTTTAGACACTATGATTTAACAAACACAGTGAAGTAAACAAACAGTTCCTTAACACTTTAACCATCAT